CTATTATTGGCTTGGGCCCATTCTCTACTATTTTTTTCTAATTTTTCTTTTATTTAATTTTGGCTTTTCCAGAGACAAAATGGATCCTACCTCTATGTCAGCTTGCTACGCTGACGATGCGGCGATAGTCCTTAGTTCCATGCAGTCCAATGATGTCATTTCCGAATTCCAGGATTATGTTTTAGATATTGAGGATTGTTACGAAAAGAGAATAAAGATTGTAAACAAATTGAAATTTCTTGGAATTCCAATAGACGGAAAACTCAGCTGGATAGAACACCTTTAAGATATTAGAACAAAACTTCAAAAATAGCCATCTCCATTAGAATAATGAGGAAATATGATTGGGTTCATATCCTAATATCTAGAAGTTACTGTTCAACACCATGACAGAGAAAACTGTTAATTACGGAACTGCTATCTGGGCTACCACTATGGCAGAAAGGAAGAAGCAACAGCTCTGTGCCATTCAATGATCATTTCTCCTCAACATTATAAAAATCTTCTAACCTTGCACTGTAAATACTCTCCAGAATATCTCTTTTATACCTTCTACTAGAGCTAGAAGCGTTTAAAATCAAAACATTATAAGTTGGAAATAAAGCTGCCTCACGATCCAAATAACTTTAAATTTCCCACCTCTCCATATTCTCAGCACCCTGTGAATTCTCCTAACATCAAAATTTGCTCTAAAAAGCCTTTACGTACTTACACAATATCATTCACAGATGGTTCAAAAATAGTAAAAAACGTGGAATCAGCGAGTATCTTCCATAAAGCCGAAAACCTAAAAATACTGCCTGCAGGCGGAAAGTACAGTTTTTCAAACGGAAATTTTAGCAGTTAAAAAGGCAGTAGAAGTTGTAATTAATGGTGTGCAGTCAGCTAACAATTCAATCAGATTCTCTTTCTTCGCTACATACAATATCAAACTTCAAACACCCTTCTTTAATAGCGCAAGAAATCTTTCATATCCTCCAAGATAATAGCTAAATTAAAATTTCGATCGGTTGGATTAAAGCACATGCCGTGAATGAAGGGAACGAAGATTGCCATGAGCTAATCAATGTAATAAACGGCAAAAGATGGCTCAATAACCCTGTTTAAATCAATTTGCACATCTCGACATGGACCCTTCCCCACTTCATCAGTACTAGAGAAATATATCTTCTTAGACAACTGTGTTTGCGGCGAAAGTGGACCTCCAGAACACTATCTCTTCTCATGCCCAAAGTAGTATATCACAGCATTAGACCAACTACAGACGAATTCGAATTTTGAAGATATAAAATAAATAATTCAAAATTTGTATCACAAAATCAATAATATTGTAAAATACCTTTCTGAACAAGGGCAAGATATTTGTAAGCAATAACTGTTACAAAATAATTCTTTATATTAGTATAAATATTCTTTTAAATATTCTTCTAAATAATATCTTCATGAAAATGTTTTGGAAACTTTACACGGAGCTTCTGTAGGATGCGTTACTGGACCAGCAGCATCACAGGACAATGCCTGTATCACCATGTGGCAAAGTCCTGGTGTCCCGAATGCTTATTCTTGTCCTGTTGCTGGAGATGGAGAGTCAGTATAAATGCTTCTAAGCCCTTACTAGTCAGGAGGCGCAAGTTTTAAGAAATAGCATTGAACGACCTCTTCTTATTTGGTGAAATTGAGAATTGGGTAAAACATGCAAATTATCTGAGGATTATGATCATTCATAGGCTCTCATGAACTTATCATATTAAGCATGCCACAGGTAAAGCCTGTGATGTTGCCAGCTAGCATTCTGCTCTCTTCAGAACTCCGAACTGTCTGTGAACAAAAGAAGAATTCACCTATACAATTATAAGGCCGATTCTATGTTACACATCTTTGGCCCTGGCTTCAGCCTCAAATTTGGACTTCCATGAACTTCAGGTTATACAGCATAATATTCTGAGAAGAATTGTTAATGCTCAGCACCTGATTAGAACAAAGTGACCCACAATGACTTGAAAAATGACTCTATAGAGGATCACATTTCTAATGTTTCTGAGCATTTCTTCAACACTGAACTTAGCTGTGACACTGCGAATTTTTCAGAAGTGCTTGATTACCAAATTATTCCAAAAGATAATTTTGTCTTGCTATTTGCTACACACGTGTTCAAAAACCATAATTTTGTAACCTAGCTTGGATCGCTGACTTCTACCGTATTCAGTATTTTCTTGTATACAGTTCATTTAATTTATTCTTGCATTTTCGAATTTATGAGCTGAAAATAACTGTACAGCTTATTTACTTTGCTTGCATTGGGGAGTTTATATTCATTTTGCATCTTTTATTTTGTGGTATTTTGCTTTCGGAATGAAATGACTTTTGTCTCTGTCGTCACTTTGCGTAGGATTGGTATCCTTGCAGTACAGTAGACAATGATCCCCTTTTTTCACCTCACTTCTTTGACGGTTCAGGAAATTTCACCCGCTAACTGCATAATGTTTCCATGCATGTTGTAACTTAAAGACATTAAGCTTTTTTAAGTCTGAAAAATACAATAATTTCATTAAAATATTAATTTGCTTACTTTGCAAAACAAACTAGAATGTTTCGTTTTGAGAATAGGTATCTTGACTGCTATCAGCACTGCGATGCTCCTCATTTACAAATTTAGCCCTGATCTCATCCATATACATTCAATTTACAACAAAACTGAGAATAAAGATTAAATTGGATTCTTTGTCCTTCCCAATTCTATCCGAGAGCCTCTTGTGAGATACTTACAAAATAAAACCATAATATGTCTACACCACCTTCAAGGGGCCGAAATGCAAGCAAATAAAATAGCATTCTTAATTTTTAAGAAATGTTACCTGATGAGCTTTAAGTGATTGCATTCATTTCATTTATTATTAAGATTGTTAAGCTTCCTAACATAGTTTTCCATAATTTTATAAATTAACACTTCAGAGATTTTTAATAGAAAATTTCCCCGTTGAAAAAAATAAAACTTCTTTTTTTTGAAGCTACTAAGCTGAATCGATGTTACCTGCCTGCTTCCTTTCTTTTCAAGCTGCAAAATCATAATATATTTAGCCCACCAGGGGCCGAGCGGTAAAGTCGCTGAACACTGGTAGTTCGGTCCGAGGTTCGAATCCCGCGAACGGGCTGGCTGCATGGGTGTTTTCGTGGTTTTCCCCATGTGTAACGTGTATACGAGCCAGTTTCCCTTAGAAAGTTCTCCACGAAGGCATCCCTCCTCTTAGGCAGATAGCCCTAGTGTCCTTTGCAATAATTAAATACACCACACCACCATAATATATTTATCTGATTTTTTATTATAGAGAAACACACAGTTATGATGAATTTGATTCAAATATATCAGTTATAAAATTATATATATATATATGTCTATATATATATAATAGTCTAGCTATATAAATATATATCAGTATATAAAAATTTCTGCATCATATTGCTGTATCTGCCATAATATTACGTTTTCGGTGTAACGTTCTTTGAATTCTTTAATGCACATAAAACCTTACTGTAAATTTTGAAATGAATCTAAATATTGGAAGAAACTAGAAAGTATAGGACAAAATTACATGAAAGAGAAAATATTACTCACATTTTCCAAATTTTCTGCGCTTAACAAAAAACAAAACAAAAAAAAGTTTTTGAATCCTCTGAGGCCGAAGGTTACGACCAATGAATAATGAGAGTTCGTCTAGAAACTTAACAGATTAACTTATTGGGTTATCGAGATTTTCCCTCCATAATAACATATATACCAAGCAGTTTTCCTTTAAAAGGCCTTTCTGAAACTGCCATTCTTAAAATAGTTGTCTCTGCAATAATCCAGTGTGATAACTTAATAAGAATTTTTGGTATGGTTGTAAGCAGTTAGTTTGCATGAGTCTCGATAATAAGTATTCACGAAAAAATTTTTTTGATAAGCCTTACAGATATCCCGTTGATCACCATTCTCTTATTGAAACATTTTCTTAGCCTGATGCTAACTCATTTATAATTGTTGTTTACACTCGCAAGAAATAGATTAGCTTGTTATTCATTCAAATTACAGTTTCAAGTAAAATAGGAATATGTCTTGTATTGTAATACATTCTAATTAATTGAGATTATATGCTCTGGATTGAAAATAATATTATTCAACTCATCTTTTATTATTATTATTATTATATTTATTATTAGCAGTAGTAGTACTAGTAGTAGCAGAACGAAGGGGCATTAGCCCAGAAGGGCTATTATTCTCGAAACGATATTTTGTGTTGAATCACTAAAAGTGTTATATGACTTTTCAGTTTGTTGCTACTAAATATTATCGCCGCGCATTATATTTAAAGAAATTAAATAATGAATAATCTGCATGAATGTATGTATGTTTTTCGCATTGTGTAAGAACAAAAGTACCTAGAGACATCAAAATTTGAAAAACGTTGTCCTCCAGCCGAATATGAGCATTTGGAAGTCTGAATTTGGAATTTGGAATTTGTTTTACAGCCTAGTTCATATTTTACAAATTTTTGATTAACAATCTCAGCGATTTCAAAGCGAGCAATGGCAACACTGTACGCAAAAAACTTTTTCATCTCCAGCGGGCTAGACTGTCTACCTGAAATTCTAAAGATATGCTGTTTTTCAATATTTTTAGCCCAAATAGACATTAGTCAAAATGCTTTCGAAATGTGTATATGTGTAAATGACAGAAACTCTCCTTTGGGCGTCATATAAAATCTGAAAGCTTTTAGTTTTTTTTAATATTATGATTATTATTATAAGCAAAATAACTCTTTTTTAATCCTATATTTGGAGCTATAACTTGTACCTCATATGCGTATTTTTCTAGTGCAAACTGTGCAAAAACTGAGTATTTAAATTTATATATTTGAATTTAGGTATGCCGAATTTGAACCTTTATTCAAACTATGCAAATGACTGCACAAATCTGTCATTAAAAATACCAGCTGGGTAACTACCTATCTAATTATTTTCAGTTTTTGCAGACTAAAGGGTAATGCTAGAGTCCATTCCACAACCATGGGTACCTTACCTGGTGCTGCTGCTCAACACTTTAGTCTTTCATTTAATGAGAAGAATTTTCTTAATGTTTTGCCCAGTTCCTATGCGGATCGTAATCGCCGAGATCATCGCTACGTTAGAGCTTTGTACGGGCTGCGCTGAATTAGGTAAGCTTAATTTTACCCATTTTCCTCTTTAAAGAAACAAAGTGAAACATTTTTTTAAGTTGCTTTCATGAAATATAATTTAATATTTAGTCTTGGTTTCATACTGTGAATGATGAAAAGCTAATTTGTTTAGATGAATTACATTAACTTTTGTTTATCTCGTTCCCTCGTTCCTTACTTAATTTTTGCAGTTTTCTATCACTGAGTTTTTTTTCATCAAATTATCGAAAATGTTTCAAGCCGCTTCAAGTAAAAAATAAATTTTATTTCACAATATTAATATTTTTCGTATAATCTGTTCTCTTGTTTAATATAAGAGGTAGTATTTTAGAAATAAATTTCAAATTTTAATTTAACCAAGAGTGATTGTAACTAAACTTATGTCAACGCTTTCAGTGGAAATAAAAGAATGTAAATACTACTTTCCCCTTTTCGCCGTGGACGACTAGCAGATCCACTGTGAACCTGCTGGGTCGTCATTTCGGAACGAAAAGGAAAGTACATGGCGAGAACACTGCTGTTGAGACTAAGCCGAAAGATGTTGATAACGGCTTATTTTGAGTACTGGAAAGTTGCTGGTATCTGCCAAGGAGCACTATCAAATAGGGATACTGACTAACGAAAAAGTCATATTGCACACAATTAACTTGTCTGGCATATAATGCATATCAATGCTTAAATTAAAGAAAAGATAATGTAGATACTAAATTAAGAAAAGCTTTGCAAATTTTTAGTATGTTACATATTTATGCTAATACAACATGTATTTAAGTACTTTTCACAATTATAAAATATGTTGGACATACAAATATGGTAAAGACAAGGTGTAGATACAGGTACTTGTATGAAAATGAAATTAGTACAATGATTTATGCATTATCTTTAATAAAGCAAGAATTATTCGAAAAATTAGATTATACAAGAATGTTCATGGATAAATGCTGCGATTACAATATGCAGACACTAATGGCAAGTAGTATGCATAAAACTGCAGATTCATACACTCACATTGTACACTATTATTAATTACAAATTTAGAGAAAAATTCCTGAAGCTAATAGGTTAAAAAATTAACTTTTATGCATCATCTTGATACAATAGGTAGGAAACTACATAAAATAATTATATATAATAGCTATATACAGCTGAAGGTATTACATGGTGCTTAGCTAATTACAAAACTTTCTTACTAAATGGAAAATTTGAGGGTACAGTTTTTAACGTCTAGTTATTTTGCAATCATCCAAAGTGTCCAGACACTTCGTAGGCGCTAAGAGAATTATCACTAAATTTAAAATAACAATTGAAATTAAGATACAATAACACGCTGAACATATATTAATTTAGAAATCAAACAACAAAAATCAGCGTTATATTTTCAAATTTTCACAGGACTAGTTTCGACGGTTTTACGGAACCATCATCCTCAGCTGCAAAAGCGCAAATAAACGAGATAAGATAATCTTCTCGTTCTCGTTCATTTACGCTTTTGCATTATCTTATCTCGTTCATTTACGCTTTTGCAGTTGAGGATGATGGTTCGGCCATCGAGATGATGGTTCGACCATCGAAACGATGGTAAAACCATCGAAACTAGTCCTGCGAAAATTTGAAAATATAACGCTAATTTTTGTTGTTTGACTTCTAAATTAGCAACTGAAACTTGAGAAGGGTATAAAAAGACCTTTTTTATTTAAAAGTAAAATGAACAGAAGGCACGCCTTGTGCTCAGCCAGCTTAAGCCTTGCGCTCAGCCAGCACTTATGGCGAGATAACTTAAATTAATAATCAAATATCAATTAAATTATTAATAATAATTAATTACATAATTATCAAGTAAGCTAGTAGCCGAAGACTATGCAAATCAATTTAACGCAAAATTGTCTCAACCAGCGTAGAGATTCAGTATTAGCGTTATAATGCAAGGCCGGAGACTACAAATCATATCTTATCTAGCAACCTAGTAACGTGACCTTGAGAGACAGAACATGCTCTGTCTTACAATTCAAAAACCTCGCTTTAAACACACGCGAACTAAATTTGTATTCTGGTGGCAAAACGAAGGAAGAAGTGATAGTAAAAATTTACAACATAAAATAACTGGTTAATCAACATAAAGAAATCTTACACCTTTTCCCGCCAGAATTTAAGTAATCGCAACGAAGGTATTTAACCCCCTTGGAACTATCTTAAATTTTAAATTAACGAAAAGGCTACTTTTTACAATCAAAAGTTTATAATCTAAACTAAAACTAAGATCTACAGATGATCACATCATGGGACAATAATTTCGTTGCATCCAAAAGGTTGTCATTACAATCTAGTCTCCTTCCAAGCATCTGGAAGGAAAACCAGTTTAGCAAAATCATCTGACACATTTTAAATATTCACTTTGTATTTAATTTCAATAAAATCTTTTTGTACTTTGCAGTTATTCTGCTTTAATTTTTCATCTCCTCTGCTCTCCAGCAAAATGTATTAAACGTGCCAGCGTGAGTCATTGTATAAGTATTTCAACACTACCACCTGACCGAAATCTTACATATTAATAACTTAGACCTCAAGAACACCTTAAATCCAAAACTATTTCTAATGTGCTAAGCAAAATAGACCATTAAACTATGGTGTTGGCTGGAGAGCCTAACTTTTAATTACTTTTCTGCATGCCGCTAGCTTTAACTAATTTTATCTTAACTAGCTTTCGCTTAATATTTCATGCACGCGTCAAGAATTCAACTTTTACAGTTATGCAAGAATCTACTGTTTTGTTTAGAAAATACTTTAGCAGAAACTTTTAAGCTTACAAAACTAATTTATCAAACATTCTTATGAAATATTTATATTTCATTTACATTGAAAAAAATCTATTCAGGTTACATTTTACATCATGTACAGAAGTTGCTTAAAATTATTCTATAAATATACCAAATTTATTCAAAAATCAGTCTCTTAGACTAAAATCAGAATTCCTATTCTTATACTAAGCTAAAATTTATTGCGCTAAATGCATAATTAAAAGCATCTTGCAGCATAACAGAACTGAAATTCCCTTGCTTGAGGCAAACCTTAAAATAAATAGCAATTGTTCCACTATTAGAAATAAATTAAAAACTGAATACTTGAAGAAATTAAATTTCACTTCGCTGGTAGTCACACATCCGTTTGGCGATGAAATCATTCCAAGTTAGCAGTAGCTTGGTGGCAAAGATAAGCTTGGTTGGATCCTCATTCTCCGATGAGGCCTTTGATCGCTTTCCACAATCTCTTGGCAATTTCTGTTTCGTAGGTCCTTCACGGAATCTTGAAATCTTTGTCTTCGCTTAAGGAATTCAAGAATCATCGGCCTCTTTCTCGTCGGAAATCCTTGTTTCTCCCTAAAACTCCTAGCTTAGTTCGCCAGAATTGTCCTCTGACTCTTGTAATCTTTTCTCTCTGAGATGATTTCTCCTTCCTTGACCACTTTCGACGTAGCTGGTACTTTGCTGGCATCCTTACGCGCAACTCGATCTTGTTCGTTGATCACTCAGCTAGCGCTGATTCTTCGCTGGACGCTTGCTTGATCTAGTTGATTGTTGAACTGTTCTTTTATTTTGGGAAGCTTCATTACTCCTTAGCCCTGACCTCCTTTCTAATTCAGCTCATTACGCTTTGATGTGACGACCTTTTGTCTTTTCTTTTCTGCTCCATCATTTATGGTACTTCCTCTTTTATTTTCCAGAACTTGCATTTTCGATGTCGCTGGACATTCTACTGCATTTCTCTCAGGACGTGATTCCTGCAATATATCGTTCATCTTTTATCAGCGCGCTCATAATTTTTCTTTAAAAGATCAAAATTTGCCATAACATTCTCCCCCGTTGCTGAATTAAGATATACAACGGAGTCTCGTATTCGCTTGATGAAGAATAAGCCTTCAAATTTAGAGCAATATTCTCCCACTTTATCTTGAGGTTCACATGTTTAATTTTCAAAATTATATCTCTCACTTTAAAATGACCCTCGTGCCATTTATTATCACAGTATAGTTTTTGTTTTTCCGTACCATATTCGAATTATAGATAGCTTCGTTGGCTAACTTTTGAATATCTGCCATTTTAAATTCCGGAGCCCTCTTTTAAACAAAAAGTAGTTTATCAAAAGGGGTAATTGACTTCCAGCTAAGAAATAATTCAGCTTCTTTCTCTTAGTATCATGTTTAGCCATCCTCAAAGCAAATGCCAATTCACTAACACTTCTGATAATTGTTTTTCATAACTACGAATAATTTTAACTATATTTTTATTTACCCGCTTTTCTCTATTGAACTTAATAAGGAATTTTTAAATGTCGTATGCCAAGCCTTGAGCAAATCCTTAGAGATTTAACTAACAAGCTATTTGATATTGTCCGAAATTTCTTTTAATCGAGCTCCATATTTTATAATAAACTTATTCCGAAAAGAATATGACACAATTTTAGCGAAGGCCCTTTTGAGAGGAACTACTTCTATTCACTTTGAAAAATAATCCGCGATAACGAGTTAGTTAGTATTCTTATTAACTTCACTACGTAGGTATGATCCTATATGGGTATAGTACGGATACAGTATGGAGCACCTGTGATAATCCTGAGGAATTATTTTGAATAATTTGGAGTTGGTTAATATCTGAATCAGTGACATTCGCCCGTACAGGCGAGGCGTATGTGAAGATAGGTCGAATAATTGCTGTGAAAACTCTCTTTGACAAAATGAGTCCTCAGGTGTCCGAAAGAAGACAGTAGAGTTTCTTGATGATATCATAAATTTTCCCAAGGGCTGTGTTGATATGCGTTGACCAGGTAAAGGACCTGTTAAACATAACACATAGATATTTGGCACAGTTGATTAGTGAGACGCGAAAAGAATGACAGAGCTGGTGATGTGAGTGAGTTTGAACTATCGAAGAAGTGGTATTTCTAATTTATCTGGATTAATGCTTGTTCTCCGTTTCCTGCCCCAGTCCTCAATCACAGATATGTTT